ATGAATAACAAAAAGCGCGGATTGTATATTGTAATTCGAGACCATCGAAATTTTACCGTATTTCGCTGTGAAACCGCGATACCGCGCCCGGGCGGGCCGGTGGATGTACGTTAATAATTTCGCGCGTAAATTCGCCGCGCGCGCGACCAGGTGATAATCAATTGCATTTTCGGTCTCTGTAAACGTTCCAAATATGCGCAATCGCTCTCGCGCGAATCTAGAGCTCTTGCCGCAAATCTCGGGGAAGAAGGGCGACGGCGCGGCGGCGACGAGGGGGGCGGGGGGCGAGGGCGCGCTTTTTCCACACGACATCGAGAAGTCGACGTGGACGATTCGGAATTTTCCGCACGCACGGATTCCCATCACTGCTCGGTATCTCCCAGGCAAAAGCCACCAGACAGAAGACACGCGGACGCGAAACGTCGACACTCACAGAGCGTTAGTCCTTCTAAATCGGTCACTTCCTCCCACGTTCCCTGAAAAATACGCCGGCGGTGGAGAGGTCTTATCGATAAGTTAACGCGCGTCTAAGGACGAGACCCGCTCGTACGTCGGGGAGTTGCACCACGCACCGCCACGTGTCGCCGTCTCGTCCGGTGTCTCCATGTGTACATATTTACAAGAAATCTACAGTGTGATCGCGCGTGATTCGCTCGCGAATACGGCGGTATCCGGTCGCACGGAGCGTCGATGAGCCGGCCCAGTGATGGACAGAGTTTCCGTTTAACGCGGTAATTTCGCCTGTGTTGTAATTTGCAAATGTTGACTCGTTAATCGTTAATTCGTGGGTGAATTAACGCGTCCAAAATTGAGTTAGTAATTGTATAGTAATTTATTATAGTATACAATAAAAATATATGTATTTATATAATATTTAGCACATACAAATATATATATATATATATATATATATATATATATATATATATATATATATACAGTGTGTCCCATAAGTTCGGCAACCGCAAGAAAACTCGGCGGAGGAGCATTTTAGAGAAAAATGTTTCGAATAAAAGTTGTAAGGCTTAAAAAGTCGCATTTAATGACAGTAGTTATTTGACCTAAGATGACGTCGCCAACGTCAGGACAAGGTCAACTTTGCTTTTTTAGATAGAAATACATATTTTTTATTACGGCATTTTATTCTACGTGAAAAAGCAAACAATTTTTGTTTGAAAAAATTTTTTATACGACCTCTATTTTCTAAGATATTTACGTAAATATCTACAAAATTATTGGTTTCAATAATTTTTTACTTGAATTCTATCAACTTTACCGAAAAATATCAAGAGATAAAAATTATTTATTTTGTTCTCATAGAGCTCTGAGAATTTTTTCAGAATTTTATATTAATTTTTTAGTACTGCATTTTCTTGCATTTTCTTGAAGTACTAAAAAGTTAACACAAAATTCTGAAAAAATTCTCAGAGCTCTTTGAAAACAAAATAAGCAATTTTTATCTCTTAATATTTTTCGGTAAAGTTAATAGAATTCAAGTAAAAAATTATTGAAACCAATAATTTTGTAGATATTTACGTAAATATCTTAGAAAATAGAGGTCGTATAAAAAATTTTTTCAAACAAAAGTTGTTTGCTTTTTCACGTAGAATAAAATGCCGTAATAAAAAATATGTATTTCTATCTAAAAAAGCAAAGTTGACCTTGTCCTGACCTTGGCGACGTCATCTTAGGTCAAATAACTACTGTCATTAAATGCGACTTTTTAAGCCTTACAACTTTTATTCGAAACATTTTTCTCTAAAATGCTCCCCCGCCGAGTTTTCTTGCCGTTGCCGAACTTATGGGACACACTGTGTATATATATATATATATATATATATATGTATATATATATTTAATATAGTATACGAAATATATTAGCGATGTAATATCATTAACCGCGCGATCCCTCGCGGTCGTTAAAACACGATAATTAATAATATTACACCGGCGCTATGATATTACTAAGCTTGTACAAGAAGGGTTCGACTTGTTTCGCGCACTTTGCGTTGGTCGCCATGAGAGCCGGGGTGCAAGGTATCATATAATTCACTAAAGTACGCGCGCTCGGCTCCGAGGAACACCGAGCTTTTATCGGTTATATATGTCCTCGTCCCTCGAAGGAAAGAGAGAGAATGAGAAGGGAAGGGCAGCTCTCCGCCGCCGTGTCGGAGAATTTTTTACTTACTTTTATCTCGTAACTATATAAGGGTTGCGCGAAGAGCAGCCTATCGCTCGATGGCCGCGCACATCAATCGTATCCAAATTCGCGAAGTACACGCTCTCGAACGCGCACGCGCGCGCGAAACGTAAATTTCCTTCCTCTCAATATTATAACACGTTTTTTCTTCTGGGTAAATTTCATCTTAACTGGGAAACAAAAGGGCCTATGTGAGGGGCCTGCTCTGTTAAAATGAATCAGTCAAACATCACTGAAAACAGCGATGTTTTACACTGATTTGCAGTTATAAGTATAGCACTGAAAGTGCTCAGTGCTATACTTATAACTGATGTCAGTGACTATTCACTGATTCACTTTAAGAAAGTTTGCACGATTTATGTAGTGTAATTAACCGAAGACCATCAGAATTATGATCAAATATAAATAAATAACTACATTTATTGGAAATTTAGACTTTTTAGACAAATTATCTCTTCATTTGACGATAATTGAAGTCGATTATTTTTTATTAACTGCAAAATTAGGTAATTTGACCTTCTCTCTTTCTCTCTCTTTTTCTCTGTCTGTGTGATGTTTGTTCCAGAATAAAAGTCGAAATGAAAAATTACGTGCGCTCGGTGCTGTTAGGATCACGATTTGCTCTGTCGAGATTTGTTCTCGATGATCAGGCGGATCTCACGGGCCCGATTTGCGGCCTGATCAACACTGCCCAACACTGTCCGGTAGTAATCGTCCGCGAGACGAACTCATCGGCGCGACCGCGACACGATCAGAACCTTCCTGTCGTCTTTTGAAAAGCCTGACTGACTCGTCCTCGTCGTCGTCGTCGTCATCTCGTTGCGGCCCTCATGAAAAAATACTATATATATTATACACATATGTGTTTTTTTACGTACTACTTGACTGAATACTCATCTATACAACGGTCTTTGATCGTCAAAAATATCTTTAAAAGCGACGCGAGATACGGCGGGAGGGCCCGCGCATTCTCAGCATTATTTACACAACGGAGCATTCTATGCGTATATTATTATTATTATTATTATTATTATATTATTTACACAGAAAAGAACAAAGCCACACGCGCCGTTCTACACATAAGTACCTCCGCGTCCATCCTCGCTTTCATCATCATCATCACCACCATCATCGTTATCATCATCACCTCGTCGTCATTATCATCGTAATTGTTATAATAATAATAATCATCGTCGTCGTCGCAAACGGCATCGTCGTTATCATTCGGCAAGCGCATTTATTGTGTCTTCGGTTTGTACTTCGCCACGCCACTAGAGCTCAAGTCGCCCCCGACTGGCTCTTCACGAGAGAGAGCCCCTTCACGCTTAAATCAGCGTATGAAATCTGCGCGGTGTTTATGGTGCATAAATCTCGCATGTGGTAAAATTCGTCGACAATCGTATGGTACAACGCTACAGGGAGAATCCCCCCCGCGTCGCGTCTAAGCTATTGTAATAAATGTAACAGCACCTCCTCCCACCGTCCCGCTGCCGTCCTCGGGATCGAATCGTTTGGGGAACCGTTTCGGGAAGCCGGTCGCGATCGCCTGTACTTTTCATATTCGTCACTCTCGAAAATGCTCTCGCGAGAGCACGCGCGTCGATCTGCCGCGCATCCTTACGCTTCCTGCGCTGCAAATCCATGCGTGTTATCCTGGCTGAGTCCCCTCTTGCACTATCTCGACTTAAGCGTCGAACAACGTCACGTTGTTCGACGCTTACGTTAAAACTTGTACGGAGATTGTAATTCGCATATTTCTAAAACGCATTAAACGATGCGATTTGAAGTTGCGAAAAAAATGCGGAAGGAGAGCCTCAGGCAGATTGCACGCTGATGCGTTCAGAAATAACGCACTTGGACCTGCGGCGCGCAGGAATCGATCGGGCCATCGCCAAAAAATGTCATTTCTCAGTTTCGTGGGCGAGATATCGCGAATTCCGTGCCTAATCTCTTGCCTGCGAACGAGGCTTCGCGGTGCGTCCTCGATCGAAAGCCGAAGTCCCGGCGACGGGGGAGGCGGGAAGGTGAGAAACTACGATCGAAGCGTCAACTGCGTTGCGACGCGTGTGAACTGTTACTTGTACTCTCAGCGCTAGCTCGCTCGTGTTCTCGCACGGGGATAATCTCAAAAGTAACTGGCAAGCGCGTCGGGAACGGATGCCGGCAATTACGGAGACACAAAGACCGAGCATCGGATCAGCCCGGGAGCTCGTTACGTTTCCGTGTCGAACCATTCGAACGGAACATTCGAACAATTCTCGGCCAAGTACCTTGTGTCTCGGCGCCGGGCGCCGGCCTTTATGCGTGTTGCCGTGGATTGCTGTGTGGATGCGAACGGTGAGGCTCTTCGTCGTCGTCGGAGTGACGAGTGGGAGCGCGCGCGCGAATAAAACTGCTGACGTGATAGTTGTAAAAAGGAAGAACAAAAAGGAATTAACGAAAACAATGCGAGAAAGAACAAGTCAACAAGCTCGCTACCGACGTCACACATGCGTGACGCGACGATTTCTTGCAAAAATTCCTTGTTCTGTGTCAACATTATCGGACTCTGTGTTCGACAAAATTACGTGAAAAAAGAAGAAAAAAATATGAGAGTTCTCGAAATAAACCGTGGCTGGTGGCGAACGTGTTAAAGCTAATCGGCGCGCGGCTTAACACATAATAAGACGACATAATGAGACGGAAGTTGGACTCGCGTCGTCACGAATGGCGATCAGTGGCACGAGGCTTGCTACATTTCGTTTCAATGAGATGCAACGCATACAAAACAATTTGATTCTTATTCGGGACGCTTTTTTGCTGATGCAAGTGCCTCTAAAAGTGACTCATGAGTCTCCTGATCGACAATAAGTCATTTTTAGACACATTTCTATCGATAAATAAGCGACAGAAAGGGCCTTTGTCTTTCAGCAATTTTCAGAGCATGAATTTTCCTATTGCAACTATCGACCTATAGAATGGACTGCGCAACGCAAATCGAAAGTAAGTCTCAGTGTGGGACAGCACGAATTCGCGGCCAATATCTATCTTTTCGAGTCAGTGCCAATCAGATTCATCAGATAGAAGTAGTTGCGGCCACTTGCTATCCCACTTACTCTCTGGACCCTGTTTCATATACAAACAAAGTAAGGGATAGCACAGTCCATACTATAGGTCGATGATTGCAACTATATTGCGTTGTGAAGTTTATTAAAATTAAAGTATCGCGTTCTCGCCATTGATCGCACGGTGGTTCTCCAATGAAAAAGCAGACTCATTTCTATACTGAGAGAAAAAAAAGATTAATTTCACGGAAATTATAGTCATTTTCGTTAAATATGAATGTTAATATTTTTTAAATATAAATATTTAAACTTTTAACATAAAAAAAAAAAAAATATATATATATATATATATGTATTGAATATATATTCAAATACATATTAACGTATATTCGAAAGTATATTCTATGTTCAAAGCATGAATATCCGTATTTAAAGACCAAAACAGCAAGAATGTTCAAAGTTAGGTGTGTCTTCGGAAATTGATATCTTTTCGTAGCAATATGGGTGTAAAGTTATTCTCGCGAACACACTGCAGTAACACACACTAAAAATCTTCTAACTGTAACTCTTTCAGTGTGTGATTACTTTCTCTTCTCTCAGTGTAGAAATCATTTATAATTAATTAATGCAGCACCTTGCATCACGCTATATTGACATTACCGTCCTAGCACGTATCAGAATCTTCGCGGTGTCGGAAAAAATTAATGCTCGAGTTAACGAATTAATGCCCGAGTTAACGAATTAATGTTGAAGATAACGAATTAATGTATTCAAGATAACGAATTGATGTGTTCAAGATAACGAATTGATGTGTTCAAGATAACGAATTGATGTGTTCAAGATAACGAATTAATATGTTCAAGATAACGAATTCAACTTCGTTCGTGTAAACGAACGCAACGAAACAAGCAAAACAATACGAGGAAGCGTAAAGATCTTAAAATCTAAGTACATTCTCTCATTCTCTTTCTCACACATACACGCACACACACACATACCGCGACCTGTATTCTTAGGCCCGAGCCTTGCGTCAAATTGTACATTAAGCTCTAATTTCGACGAATCGACACCGTGTCGGTCGAGTCTACGCCGAGATCGCGGATATCGCTCGTCGTCGCTGATGTTATCGACAAGCCGACAAATTTTTCTTTCTGCGACACTTCGGCACCTCGTTAAGCAACGTCGAGAAAAAGCTGCGGCTTGCCGATTAGTTGGACGTTTTAATACGCTCACTTCGGCCGCTCTCTTCGCGTTTCGCTCAAACATTTTTATCCGGGCTTGTTATTTAAATAATTGATTTTCTCACGAGCGTTAATGGAATTAGTTGTTCGTCGCTCGTTACATCCGCGATATTCCAGGTCAGAGGCGTCTGGCCGCGTCGCGAAGTATGCAAATATCTGTTACATAAACGCGTCGAGATATCGATTAGCGCACGGTAAAACGTGACTACCCGTCGTTCCCGTCTTCGACTACACGACGAATCGAGCGAAATCCTCAGATTTCGTGTGAATTTGCGTCCGCATCAGTGACCCGAGTGTCGTCTTCGTCTCGTTCTAATAAAACTATCGATATCGTTTTATCGACTGCGTATGCACGCACCTCGCATTAATAATAGTTAAAAAATGGATTATCCGAACATGAAAATAGTATACTTTTTCTCTTTTTCGCTCGCTCGCCCGTTCTCTCTCTTTCTCTCTTGCTCTCGCGCTCGTCTGTTGTTACGAACATCGAAATATTATTACAATCAGGCCATTAACTTACGACTTAAAACTTAAATTGTATAAACTGGAATCTCATCACTTTTGCGATGCGATTCGTTTAATGAGATGCGCGCGCGTGTGTGTGTATACGTGTACATGTGTGTTCGTGTAATCGAATATTAGATACACGCTCTCTATTGACATTCTGTATTTACAATATATATATATACAGCAAATTAATTCTTATCGCGATCACTTCCTCGTTTAATGCCACTTAGTGTGATTATTGCATCGATCCATAGCATTTTCTCTTTTTTCCTCTCTTGCTCTCTCTTCTTCTCCCCCTTTTTTGCTGTCTATCTTTCTCTTTATCTCTCTCTCTCTTTCTCACTTTCTCTCTTACGTGCAAGTTGTAAGTATAATTATAATTTGAAAATTGGAACGGCAATCGGACTACGTTTTTACGGGGGAGAATTTTTTAAACAAGGCACAAGTATTGCCTGTTGTCGAGGTCGAAAGTTGCAGGCTACGAAGTTTATCAATCTATGTCGCTGTCGAATTTGTCGCGTGCATTTAGCGATATATATATATATATTTATTTATTTATTTATATACGTATGTATGTATATACATGTATATGTATGTATTGCTGTTATATATATGTACATGTATGTATATATACATACATACATATATTATTCGTGTCTTAAAAAGTATAATATATATAATTTATATATAACCTTTCATACTTATATCCTCTCGAATATTTAGTTACTTTTCACGTAGCACAGTGGAAAGGAGAGGCCCTCCATACAGTCACATCATACGTACAAAAGGTATAAGAGAAATGAAATTATATTAATGTCAATCAGTGAAAATTAGGGCATCTCGAAACTGTGCACGGTGAGTAATTATATCAATAACGTAACGCGCGACGGCGATAAGCAAGTTGTCCTTAAACTCGAGCGCGTCAGCAGATATCTCGCGAATAAAGTAATGCTTGTGCCTTGTGGACGTCCGATTTCTCAGTAGCAATCATTTCGCAATAAAGACACATGAAACGCGTGAGAAAACGGTTCTTCATCGTTGCACGCTCTCGTCGTAAGTTTTTTTCTCAAAATGCAAGCGCGACATGTCGCCTACGCCTCTAAAGCAGAAGCTTCCGAGACTCATCTTCCTCCGGAAGACGTTGAAAAATTGTGCCCGCCGTCACAATGGCGGTTGTCATGTCGAGAGATTTCGCAGAATTGTTGGCTGACCGCGCATTAAGTAACTCCGGTTAACTTAATCGTCAGCTTAAGCTTTTCTCAGACAACTCCGGGCTTCGGACTCGTCAGGCATGTCGTGGGATCATAGGAGCCGGCCAGATAGTAGACATCCTTATTCTCGTAGACGGTTTGATCCGGCTCCTTACCTAGCCTCTTGATATACTCATCGAGCGATAGTACCTCGCACTTGTGAGAGATTGTCTGTACGTCGTTCTCGTCCAAGTGATTTGACTCGAACAGACCACCCTGTATGAAACAATAACAATAATCACTTATGTTTATTCAAATATAAGCTTAGGAATGGGCGATGTGCATCTTTCTCTAAAAGTTTAGGGTGAATTTCGCTCAATTCTGGCTAAATTAATGGACGATAAACCCGTAGAGATTAATGTTAAATCTCTGCAAAACTATTTAACGTATAGTAAATTATTATTGTGATATTTAATCACGTTTACAGGTCAATTTGTTGAGAGAAAGGTCATATGTTCGTCTTTATAATGAGTCATATTCTGGTTGAAAATAAAAGATCTCTCGATTTGCCGTTGAGTCGTAATAATTGAAAATAAAAAATCCTATCTGACAAATCGTTCAATCATGCTATAACTTCGATTTTTCATTAACGATGGTGGCGGCTCGTAGTGTTTCATGTCGGTGACATGAAACTAAAAAAATCATTTAGCCAAGACTCAAACCCGTTTTAGCTGAGACTTAAATCCGCAGTAACAGGTTTCTTTGCTAACTGAAGCTAGATAATCCTTAGCTAATTTTTACCCGATGTTTATTTACAATTTCCCGAGTAACTAGACCTTTATTTTCATATAATACAACGCAACGAGTGAAATTCCTTTTTCGCTTTTAAACTGTATGATTCAATAGATAAAGATAGGATAGTTTTATTCTTTAAGAACAGATTCAAGAACAGATCAAAGGTCCATTTTAATTTTGAACGATTCAGCGACAGATTAATTACATAAAAATTTCAAAACTGTAATTGATTAGCAAAAGAAATTAGATTGACTTCGATTGACTTATATGCATCATTTATTTATACTCAAAGAAGGATATACGTTTGAACAAGCTAAAAATAAGACTTATTTAAGCAATTTTGTTTTTAAGAGAATAACAATTGAAGTCAAAATTTTGTAATTAATAAGTAATCAATTTTTAAATATGATTCGAATCTCATTATAATTATATTCAGATTGAGTTAAAATAATTATAAGCAGTTTTAACTCAATTAAAAAAGCAACTAAAGAGATACACTAATAAAAAAAAATAATAATAGAATAGAAATATAATAGATCGAAAATTCTAACATCTTTAAAAAAATATCAATAACATGTTCGATTCTTCTGTTGAAACGTATGTCTTCCTTTAAGTTCATACGTAAAAATAAAGAGTAAAGAGCACACATAAAGAGCAAAGATTAAGAGCTCGTTTGTCCTTACTTTCTTTTGTCGTTAAGTGTCATTTAAGCAAGAGAAATTACCGGATATTTGAGATTTTCCGGTGAGCCTTTCCTCTCCTCGGGGTGATAGTACCATTTGACTTTGACGATCATGTTAGTGTTCGAGGTCTCCCACATGGACATGATCTGTCCGATGTAAGGTCTGTCCGCGCTGCTGGTCGATAAGAAGACCGCGCTGTCGCCGATTTCTATCGTCTCGTCGCTGCGCTCTATCCCACGATGAAATTGCTTCTTGATTCTGCCCCTCGCCCCGACTCGTCTGTAAGGCCCGTCCGCCCAGTTCCACAGTTGCTTCTCGGGCAAGAAGGGCGCCATTTTACTGCGGCTTTCCACGGATTTCTCGCGCAGCTTGCCCTTGTACGTTTGCCTCTTCACTCGCCTCTGCTTCTTCCTTTTCACGTAAGAGGGTTCCCACGATTCCGAGGATTCCACGGTAGACGCCGGTTCTTCGGACTCTACGTCCGCCGACTGTTCTTCAAGCTCCGCCTTCCGGGACGACTGTTCTTCTGGTTGTTGAGGCGGTTGCAGAGGTTGCAGAGGTTGTTGAGTCTGTTGAGCCGGTTGCTTTTCGTCCTCGTGGACTGACTGTCCATCGGACTGTTCGTCTATCTCATGGACCGAAGATTGTTCTTCAGACTCCATCTCTTGGAGAGACTGTTTTTCGGAGTCTCCCTCCGACGTCGATTGCTCCGTGCTCTTTTCCTCTAAGAACGATTGTTCCGTGCTCTTTTCCGTCGAGGACGATTGTTCTGTACTTATTTCCCCCGAGGACGAACGTTCGATACTCGATTGCCCCGAGGACGATCGTTGTTCGGTACTCGATTGCTCCGAGGATAATTGTTCGGTGTTCATTTGCCCCAAGAACTGTTCCTCAGGCTCTATGTTCTGCAATTGTTCTTCTGGCTCTTCGTTTATCGGCTCTTCGACAGTTTCGTTCGATGGCTCTTCGATCTCTATACTGTGGGACGACCGTCTGACAAACGTCATCTCCGTTGGCAGAAGATTTTCGAGACTTATCACCTGGGGCAAGACAATCGCGTGTGTCTCCTTGGGTGACGTTCCCTGGCTGATGTAGTGTCCGGTATTAGCACTCATCAAGTCCTTGGCAAGTTCCTCCTCGCTCTTTTGTTCGGCCGAACTACTCTCTCCGCTGCAAACAGAAAGTCAAGATTGCGATTTGTAGTACGTGCAAACTGGGCAAGTTGCTTCTTAAAAGTAACTTGTGTTACGATTCTTAACGGCAGTCTGTCGGCGCACTGTTAATAACATTTTGCCCAATGGACATATAAAAAATCATACAAACCTGACGTAGCTGGCCTCGCTGTGGCTGCCGTGATGTTTGTGCTTATGCTTTCGGTGTTTCCTATGCCTGTGCTTGCGATGCTCCTCAGAAGACCTGTGTTTCCTATGCTTCTTCTTTCCTTCTTCCAATCTCTTGAGCTTCCTCTTTCTCTTTTTTGTGCGTTTCCTCTCGCGGTACGCGTCCAACGCCTCCTCCTCGAGCTCGTTCGATTTCTGCGCTTCTTGCGGCTTTAGAGAAGGATAATAAGACTCGGGAAAAGCCACGTCGCCAAATAACGACGGTCCGACCTGATCACTGGAAGTCGATCGTAGTTTCTCACCCGAAGACGATCTCTGACGTCGTCGTTTGCCTAACGTGAGGAGGGGATTCGGATCATATTCTGCAAATAACAAGAGCGATAATAATGATTTATCGTCGTGTATCAGAACTCCAATTGGAGTGACGACGTAAACGCGCGTTGGGAGATACGTGCCTATGACGGGATAGCCGGCAGGCAACAGTCGTATATTGCTCAGGTCGATTCTACCGCTGTCACCGTCATCGAATTCTACGCTGACATACTTGTCGTCATGGTCCGTGTTAGGTTCTATCGGCTCTACGGCGGTCCCCGGGTACAAGCACCTGTACTGTTCGCTCCAGTACGCGCATAACCTTGTGCCAGGCGTCAGTTCCTTGGTCGAGCTCGGGAATACTTCTACGATCTATGAGTAAACGCGATTCTATGTAATGTTCGTTGTGCGATGAATGCGCGGTCAAATGCGTCCTTCTGATTCTCAAGCCGAATCAGCGGTACACCATACATTGTTCCGGAAAAACAAGACTCCTTTGAAGAAATCGGTAATAAAATAATTGGTCATAATGAAAATCCCAAAATAATCTTTCGAAAAAAATACATTTTTCTCCAAATAATAATTATTATTACTATAATTAAATGTAGTAATTATCAAATATAATTATAATATATATACGGTTATTTCTTTTGGTATATACGGTATATATATATATATACGGTATATATATATATATATATATATATATATATATATA